CTCAATTTTTTTACAGTTAGTGAACCCTAAAACAACCTTTTTCAACAATTGTGCCGTTGATTCTTGCAAATCGACGGACTATGCAATTTTGTTTCAAAATCCGGTGAATTTTCTTAGTCAACAAATGGAATAATTTCCAAAATACTAGTCCAGTAAGAATAGATCAAAAAATGGCAAATAGGGGAACTAAATCATGTACCTATTACTAATTCCTTCGGAAATGTGTAGCAGAAGGTTCCCTGATCAACATATAATAAAGTCCCCCCGACTTACGGGTGTGCTAGAGGGGTGAGGGGGAAGACCGTGGTTTTGATGGTCACATTGTATAGTTTTTTACTTACAATTCGAAAACGGTGCGTCATAGAAAAAAATTCTTTCAATATAAATACAAGCTCATTAAATTTGCTACAACTTTGATTCTATACACTTTCTTAAAAAAAACACCGTTTTGACCCACCAAGATTGAATATGTGAATTATACACATGCATAACCGTACTAGCCATACCTCCATACGTATAGCGGGATTTTCACTCAACAGCGGTGGGGGTTGTATGAGAGGAGAGGATCGAATCGAAAACCTCATCAAGACTAGCGACCCGCCAGCACTGGCCAATGTGCACTTCTGGCACTGATCAACTAGAACTGGATGCGGCCCGAGGTGTGGGTGTGGTAAGACGGGCATCAACTGCACTTCAGCTTGTGGATGTGAAAGTGTAATTTGACTGCACTAAGTATATGAATAGTGAAGCGTTTCGCAAATTTGAATTTCGTTCGCTTATTTTGCACTTTTAAATTAACATTTTTAGCAATTAAAAACAAACTAAATAAGAAACTAATGGTTTAAGTATAATGTCAGGACAATAAATATTTGCTGGAGAAAGAATCAAGTAAATTTAAACCATATTCCCTATTGGAGAAAATTTTGACTCATCGATAGATGCGAGTTATTTTGAATTTTTTTTGCATTTTGTAACCAGAAAAGTCGATGGTTTTGGGGATTTTGTGCAAAAGATTTACGCTTAAAGTCAGTTTAAGATTCCTGAAGAGGTCGACCCACGGAAGTTTATCCTGTGAACAAATTTATGTATTTTTATGAATAGAAATTATTAACAAAAGAAACCGTTTTCTACCAACTACCGCCCTTCTTTCTGACCCCTTATCAAAAGAACGGATGGGGGAGGGGAGTAGAACTGGTTTTATCCTTCATGGTACTCTAATGAAAAGTCTCAACCATAGTCATCCTCCTCGATACCTTATCGTGAGCGGATATATTCCCTTATAACTCCATAACGGGTTGTCGGAAGAGGGTACTCACAAAGGGCGATTGGGACGTCTGGAAGAAATATATTCATTGATGATGTCAAAACTTTAAGAGCGAATATTTCCAAAACGGTTTGTCATAGCAGTACTCATAAAGACAAAATGAATCGTACGCACAAGAGGGAAGTCGAAGCGAATATCTTGAAAACCAAGCGTCGGTTTAAGGTTGGGATTTCGCCTACTATTTTTATATGGCATAACAATAACATCTCTTACAGTTTCTAGCCGATTTCGAAAACCGCACAATTTTCTTTAATGAGAAAAGGCTTAATATAACAATTAGACTTTCAACTATGCCTTACACATATTTTCGGTCCGTACAATTCGCGGGAAATATTATAAAACAAGGAAATTCTGATTCGTATTTTGTCGTGAAGTAAAATTGTAATAAAACAATGGGACATGAATGCAAATACAAATATCTTTAAGGCATGCTGTAAGTATTGTAGAATGGCAAACACTCAACCGTTTTGAAGTTCTGGTTGGGGGTTTTCTTATTCCTTGGAAATAGTAAAAGCATATTTTTCTTGCTGATCGCCATTAAAATACCGTTGTTCAAATAGTCCGGGAAATAGAGACTGAAAATAGACCATTTGCTGCAAAACGAAAAGTAGTTCCAATTTTTTTTGCATGTCATGGAAGAATATCTGGGGGTTAAGAATCCAAGTTTTCGACCTCCCACCCCTTGTGCTTCCCCCGTACCACCCTTAAAACTAAAGAAATTTGGTTGGTTTTTTAGTTTTTCAATCATATCTTTTTATAACTTCACTTTACAAGAAAATATTGTTATCAGAAATTGTAAACTATAAAATTCTACACAACTTTGATATACACTACTTCTTTGTGAAATGTTTATTAAACACGATATAGAGCTTCAGAGTTGCTTATATTTTTAAGAATTCTAAAATTTGTATGTAGATGTTTTAACTAAATTTTATACTTTATCTCTATAATTATGAGTTTTATGAGAAAATGTCTTGAAGTTATCGTGGTATAAATCTCCCTACCCTGCCCCCTTACCAAAGGGGATGCATAATAATGAAACTAGCAACCCTTGCTAGTGGGGATATTTAAATCACTATGAGATTGTAGCGCTTTATAATATACGTTTGAAACCAAAAAATTATCTCGCTTCAGTTCAGCTTTATTTATGCTTTCCCCCCCCCCCCCCCCCGCCACAGCGGTAAGAATAGATATTTAAAGAGGATTAGAAAATATATGTAATAAGCGACTAACTTATCAATCGCCACAAGAGCGTTTACATATCTATTCCTACCGCGGTGAGGGGGAGGGGGGGATGAAATTGAACTAAAGTGAGACAATTTTTTAATTTCAAACGTATATTATTGCGCTACAATCTTACAGTGATTCAAATATCCTCACTAGCAAGGGTTGCTAGTTTCATTATTATGCATCCCCTTTGGTCAAGGTGCAGGGTAGGGTGATTTATACCACGATAAATTCAAGATATTTTCTCATAAAACTCTTAATTATAGAGATAAAGTATAACATTTGGTTAAAACATCTACATAGAAATTTCAGAATTCTTAAAAATATAACCAACTCTCAAGCTCCATATCTTTTTTAATAAATATTCCGCAAAAAAGTAGTGTATATCAAAGTTGTGTAGAATTTTATAGTCCACAATTTCTGATACCAATATTTTTTTCTAAAGTGAATCATTAAAAAGATATGATTGAAAAACTAAGAAACCAACCAAATTTCTAGGGATTTGGGGGTGGTACGGGGGAAGCACAAGGGGTGGGAGGTCAAAAACTTAGATTCCTAACCACCAGATGACTGTCTATGACATGCAAAAGAAATAGGAACTACTTCTCATTTTGCAAGTTAAAACCCTCTATTCCCTGGACTAAAAACCTAAATCGCGTTTTCTATACTGATTACGTTGAAATACAGTGTGGCGTGTGGCCATTCTTATAGATAGGCGACTGTTATAGTTACGCTAGTCGTTTTAAGGTACCAGTTCAGTTTAAAGAAAAAACTTTGGTCTGTTAGTGGTTTCATTGGTAATCACCACTAAACAAAACAAAAAGAAACGAATCTAACTTTTTATTTTTACAGGAATAAAATTGGCAATGCGAAAGCCAACGGTGTTATATCCTAAAACTATATCGCTGATGGTTTTCATCCCGGCAAAAGGGATGACAAAAAATCGTCCGGCACCTGCTTTGTCGGGGTGAGTGATTTGTGATTAATTTCATGTCAAAGTCAGTGGTCACGCCCGACCAGCTGGTCGAGGGTTGTTAGTTCTGTGGGTTAATGTCGCCACAGGTCCTTTACTAAGAGTACTTCTCTTTTCAGGGAATCCCAGCCTTAAAAAAATGCGCTTTATTTGCACGAGGGTTATGCACAATTTATGTTGTTATTTATTTTCAGACAAGAAGCATATTAATAAACAAGATTTATTGTAAAGAACTTATTATTAAAAATAAGCATTACATGTTACTTATACATTTTCGGAAAGCAAACTTTTAAAACCATGACCAACTCCATTAAAAAAACAACTTTGAGTTAGCTCTGCAGTTACTAAGAGGACTAAAAACAAACGACTAACAGCATTGATTATCTACGTTAAATAATGCTAAATCGATTTTGTTCTAGCTTCAAAAATAGTTTTCCTCTCTAGAGAAAAAACGACGGCAGCTTATTTCTGGCAACGGTAATGGAATAAGCATGAAAAAAGAGATCACGAGTACCTAAGCCGTTTTCGTTTATCTGCGCTAATAAGTTACCCATTTAATCCTACTTATCCAAATTGGACCACACTGTGCAAAAATTTTATTTATTCACCAACTTTTTTCGAAACAAAATACATTGCCTCGATAGGTGGTAACTAAATTTTATGGCTTTGAACGACAGTCAGGTAGAACATTAAATGCGTATAAGCAGATATACCGAAAATGACATGTCGAAAGTACCAACAAAGAAAAACTGATAGGTCTGAATGGGACCCATCCCTCGGAATTGCAATGGTTTATTTTACAGGAGGCGGTGGGCATCTTCTCCCATCAAATAGTGTTGAGAAACGAAATACTAAAACCATTTGTCAATGTGGGAAATGTTAAAATGATCATGACGGTATATAATCATGAACTCCAGTGTGTTTCGTACGCCTCCCATTTCGTAGTATTATGAAAAAAACCAGACGATCGTCAGACCGAAACCAATATCAGCTTTTATTTGTAATAGTCGAGGTGGATCATTGTTGGCGATAAAAAAATTTTAAATTTAAAGTACCTACGTTACGTATTTCTGCCGAATTACGAAGTGAAGCTGCATGCACTACTATATGTCGTGTCAGTCTCCAAAAGATAATTTCAATATTTTTTTGGCGAAAATCGTTAAGTTGTCTTAGTTAAACCGTACGTTTATTGCTGGTACACGAAAAAGCATTTTGTGAAGAAAATTGAGATAATTTGACACATGTGCGCTTATTGGTTGTTTTGTACCTTCTCGAGTCTTCAAAATATATATCCAATCCCGCTATTATATAAGATACAAGATGTATTTTCCCACCAATTTAATAGTCTCTGTCTCGTATCATTATTACCAATACCGAACGCCCCTTTTGGCGTGGGATTTTAAACATACTTGGGTCACGGTATTGTTCAACAAAAAAAGTATTATAACAATTTGGTCGAAATTGAGATCGTATCGTTAACATTAATCTTAATTTCCACTTTTGACACCAATCTAAATTAAAAATTGCCTTTTCCGCCCCCGGCCAACTATAGGTACGCTTGGTCGGCGAAAAGTGGAAAAAAACGACCTTCGTTCGGAACCTTTTTTTTTAGGAAACGCGGTTACAATTTATAATATTCTTACATCGTAGTTACATTCTTGCTTGATGGCCTGCTCTTCCTGGCATGACAAGAAGAGTGCAGTATTGGTGTGTTGGAGTGAGTATCTCACATTTAGTTGCCTCATTCTTCAAATAATGCTCGACCGCTCAACAACTCTCCGCAGGTCGTCAATTTGAACCTGTGTACCATGTGATAGTGTGCGTGTTTCAAATTTAAGGTAAGTGGCTATAATGGTTTATGGTGGTGTTAATATTAATTTACTTACTTCCTGTCGACTGTTAAGCAAAACTTTCCGTACTATTATAACGTATTTTTATGTCACTCTTAGTTCATAAAATTTTAATAACACTCATAAATTATTCGCACTACACGACGATTATGAATATTCCAAAAGAAAAAATCTGTTATGCGCCTATAAAAACAAATGTTATGGCATCGGAATTTGTGTGTAAAAGTCGGAATTTTTCGATCTTTTAATGCGGTTTTAAAGTCAATAACAGGCGATTCAACATTAATTAATTGCCGAACGATTGGGATACCACACGAATTTTTCGAAAAACAAGGAATTTTTTCTGATTTAAATAAAAACGACACTATTCTTTTGTGTTTTTCACTAATTCTATTATCTAAACTGCCAGAATTAATGGTTTATCGCTTCATTTCCTAAGTTTGCTAGTAATGGGTTTTCTAATTTCGTATTATTTGAATCTTGCCGAAAAGTTAATCTTTATTCAAATGTCACATTCATTTGACTTGGTTTAAATTAAATTTGTCTGTTTCTAGAAGGCACTATAAATTTACAAAATTCCTACTGTCAAATGACAGTGCAAAGATGAAAATGCTTTTACGTTTATTTGCTTTACAACATGGATATGCAAATATGTAAGTACGTGCGTGTACATAAGTAACTATTCTAATGTAGTAAAGGTGAGTAGGTAAAGGAAAGTGTGTTACTGTTAAGGCTCAAAAATAGTTATACAGGGTGGCTATTCATTTTCTTGATTCATTCACGTCTTAAAACATGAATCATTCATCAGTTTGATTTTTCCAGTAGGTACCTATTTGAAAGTCTTCTCATTTTGGGAGCGTAAATGTGACTACACAGAATTACAATTAATGAACGTTGCGGATATTGTAGATGCGTGAAGTTGGCCGGGTCATATGCAAATAATCTGATGTAAATACAGCCATGTATGCCATATTTGAATGAAATCTTCCACCCTAGGATGCAAGTTTATTGTTTACAACAGTAGATTTCGTAAATTGTGCGCTCTTGAATGTAATTTTACCCTCTACTCAGTTACAAAGTTATTTTGCGCTGTTTTCATTTCCTCGTTCATTTGAAAGTAAGAAGTGCTTCAAAATACAACTCCTGGAAAATTGGAAACACAGTAGGCTGTGACGGTATATTCCGAGGTATATTCGTTATTTTTGTATAAACGTACCCTCACCTATGCTTGTTTAATGTTTTGCTTTCCACTTCATGGTTTGCCAGTTTACACAACTAAAACCAAATGCTTGAGATTTAATTAGAAGATTCTTGGAAGGCATTTCACGATTTGAAAATTAGTGCCCTATCTGCTCATTAGGAACACTGCACAATTTTTTGGTTCGTTTTTGTTATAAAATCTATTTGTTTCTACTACTTGGGTCTAAAGAAGAGAGAACATCGTTTTAATATTCCTCAAATCTGGATATTGTAACCAGGAAAGCCGTCGTTTTTAATTTTTGTTATTAAAGTTGTTAGCTAGAGTTAAAAACAAAAATTGGAACTAAAAAGAACTCAAATATGCCCCATCTTTTTCCGCTATTTTCCAACATTTAAAAAAAATTCTGAATTTTCTGTCATCAAAAATCCATTCAGGTCTGTGAATAACCTACATCTCAAAGAACATACCTACAATTTTACGTAAACTCCACAGTTGATATGTAAGTAGATCGTAAATTTGCCCTCTTGTGAGCAGTTTCGACAATGGTTCGATTTTGTTCCGATTCGCAATCTATTTGTGTATTTAATTCCTTTTAACAACACGAGTACCTAATTGTTTAAATGATTGTTCTTCTCTTTAGAATATAGTGCAGAAAGAGGAAAAGCAATCAAACCATTGTGTATTTACTTTACTCCTAAGTATTTACTCAGTTTCTGCAGAATATTCGTTTGGAAATGAGCAATACGCATAAGCCAGATAAAGTTCAAAGTTGATCAAAATCTTTTACGAGTACTATTCTCATTTTCGTTACATTTTATGGTCTTCCTATTGTGGCTGATCTTTTTGCCGAGTATTGGTACTTCAAATGCGAATGTCCCGAGAATGGAGTGTGTAAAGAGCGAACTCTCAAATAGAAACCGAGGGGTAAGCAGGAAACGTATCCGTCATTAATAGAACCAAAACTTCAAATCCGAATATCTCGCTACACATCAGAGTCGGGCAGCCTTATTACGGCTTATCGGGTAAAGATTGTACAGGGTGCCTCACCATTGGGATCTTCGATCTTCGCAATGGTGAGAGTTATAGTATAGGTTAAATGGATGCAAAATTGGCCCTTTTATGACTAAAAAAACGCATTTGAAATTTTGGAAAAACGGAAAATGTCAAATTTCATTTTCCTTATTGTACATGACTGCGTCTGAATAAGTTGAATAGACGAAAAAGAAGCAGTTGGGTAAAAACTTGGAAAAATTCACAAGTTTAGACTTTTACCACTGTTTCGTGGATTACATCACAATTTCAATTCAATTTAAGGGTATTTAAGAATCAGAATTTTCAAGACTCTTCTAGAAAGCATCTTTGAAAGTGTTCAAGAGTGTAACGAGCTGGTTACATTTACATGGGTTGAAGACCCCATTTGCATAAAAATAAAATTGAATCTCAACGACGCTGACAGAAATCCCAACACAGCAATCAATTTTTAATTTATCCACGGCTAGCTCAGTAATAAAAATGTTTTATATATACTCCTTTTACCTTTCCGAAGTTTGGTTTCAGTTTCATTTTTAAGCTTGGTACTCACGTTCAGTTCACCGGTCGATTTTGGTCACAAAGCCAACGGCCGGCCGGCTATTCTCATCGATGAGAACTGTGAAAATCCTAACGTGAGTACTCCTCGGCCAGACGATATTGGCTCGCCGGAATAATTTCGAGTAACAATTAAGGCCGGCCGGCCAGGACGGACAATCCACAGACTGCCGGCCAATTGAACGTGAGTTATCCAAGGTTTTCATAGATCTGGAATATCACACTTACTTTAATCAAAATCAATATGCAAAATTCCTAAAAATAAACGACCACTAAATTATGCAATGCAAAATATTCAAAACAACTTACATCAGCAACTGACGTGGATGAAATTCCTTTTAGGTTTCAACTGATCCTATCTCACCTCGGAAAAGTCGCTCCTTTTAATAAATATGGAAATAGACCCCTTCATTGGTACGATGGACTTTGCGGTGAATATTAAGCAAAATGTTCATACGTATTTCGAACTCCAACCGCAACTAGCTCCAATTTCGCGAAAAATAATACGCATTATTATTATGATTGGAAATTGGAATAAAACGCCAATGTTCCGCTTTGTTGATATTAAAATTTTGGCCAATTAATTAAGCTTTATAGTGTCAGTCTAGTGTCAGTAAGTGCACCAATCAATTATTTTTTAAGTCGCCTGCCGAATGACGGGTACAGAATATTATTTATCGCCCAAAGCGCTGCACAAATGTTTTACACAGTTAACAATCAAGCAGACGCGGTCCTTTTTTTTCACTTATAATAGTTATAATAATAATAATAATAATAATAGTTTTATTTTATTTTATGATAACGTTCAAAAATTAAAACTTCTTTAATTAATTGCTCAGTCTCCTGTTATCATAAAAAGCTATACAGTCTTAAAATTCATACTATTTAAGCGCGCTTCCAACAATACCAAACACGGCCAATTTTGATAACGTTTGCTCCAACACAATTAATTAATTACAGTTAATTATACTCACTTAATTGACCAGATTAAAATTCCAAAATTCGGTAGGCCACCAAGGCCCATTGTTTATTTTATTTTGCCTCTATTTTTGAGTGGGCGGGGTTCCAGCCAAGGCTGTTATTGTTAATTGAATTTTCGGGTCAAGCGATAGGCCTGCTTATCTATTGTACACTGCATGGCCTTGTTTGCTTTAATACTCTTTTGACCTAACATTGGGAAACTAAAAGCATCCATGTACCGGGTGTTCATGAATTCAGGTAAAACTCATATACGAAACCGGAAAGCATTATTTACTACGAATACAACGATGTACGGCACAAAAAGAATTTGAAAACTCGGTTGGTTTCTACAAGATGGTGCACCTACCCACAACGCGCTATTCGCGCGAAAATACCTACCTATCGTTGATGCGACTTGAAAATGTCCGTACCTGTACCAATCCGATACGATACCTATCGCACAAATTTTCCATTTTACAGGGAATTGGGTTGTGCGCAGGTACATCATCCTCTTGCGACCAACAGTTTCCAACTTGTTTTTTTTTTGTGTGCCGTACATCGTTGTATTCGTAATAAAAAATGTTATTCAATACAGTATGTACAGTTTTTATGAGCCATATAAATAAATAAAGTTGATTTCTGTGAAGCGAAACGGTGTATTGAAAATTTCTCAACGGTGTCTATACGTTAATATCAGTAGACGTTTCAAGTTTTGGTCCTATAAGGACATTGGTGACAGATACGTCTGGTGCCCATCCCACTCTTTCCTTTTGTGAGTACCGTGCTTGGATAATCCATTCTCGAGATAATCGTATGGTTTGTTGTCGAAAACGTTGTAGCTAAAACACAGAGACCGTAATAGTTATTTACATTGTTAGTGCGGGAACAGTGATTTTGCGGATGAGCGCGAAGTTTAACGGTGCGACGCGCGAATCCGGCAAATACTGTTCACGCACGTAACATGTATTCTGTTTTTTGCATGGATAGTTAACTCGAGTTTATATAAATTCTTAATCATAATTCTTTTACTGTAATTCAAATTCGTTTTCCATTGGATTGCGCAAACTGATGCAATCATATCAAATCTCAAACCTTCGAACCGCGTGTCTTTATAAGGACCAGGATTCACCCTTGGGTATCATCCATGTTGAATTGCAATTGTACAGGGTGGCCAATCGTGTTAATCGTAGAGGCTTGCGGTGAAAAAATTTATTACTAAAACGGCCACGAGAAAAACCTGGAAAATATTTTTAAGTTTCTGCAATGGCCGCTAGGGGGCGTAACTGCAATCTGGAATCTAAAAATGTGTTCTGTGAATTCCGCTATATTAACCTAACAAAAAAATGCCCGGTCTTTGAAGTTGACGATAATCTGAACTTTTTTTGTTTGACAATTTTTCCTGTATATCTAAAAATGAAGTGGATTTTAACAAAATCTGGTTAATTGAAAAGAGTTATTCTTGGGCTACAAATATTATAATATTTGAAGTTTTGTTATTTCACATATCGCCGCTTGAGGGCTTTTTTCGACATTCCGACAGAAATGGTTAATTTTCTCAAAAAAATTAAATGCGTTGGTTTAATTGTTTGTCATGAAAAAGTAGCTAAATTATGCCTAAACAAGCTCGCGAAAACCGCATCTCGATATCTTGTTCCTAACCTAAAATTTAGGCCAAAGAAAATTTTATACCCTCAAAATTTTATCTTTTTAAGCTAATTTTTCCGGAATTATTTTTATTATATAACTTGTGGCCCTAAGGTAGATCGATTTAAAAAAGGAAGCTTTTAATGCCGCCGTAAATGCTCGAAATGCTGGCCATCGCGATATAAAAATATATATCTCAAGATATCGCTGTTTTCGCGAGCTTGTTTAGGCATCATTTAGCTACTTTTTCATGAAAAAAAAATTTAACCAATGCATTTAATTTTTTTGAGAAAATTAACCATTTCAGTAGATAAGGGGCCACCTATGCGAGACAGTCACGTGACACTCCAGACGTGAGGTTCAAGCGTGGTCTAAACACTGATGGTCATCGTGGTTGTCTAAACTACAGGTCTGTTTAAAAAACGGGCCTGTTAAAAAACAGAACTGTTAAATCAGAAACAGGTCTATTCATCAGAAACAGATCTGTTTTTATTAAACCGATCTGTTTCTGTAAAACTGACCTGTTCCTGATGAACAGACCTGTTTCTCATCATCAAACATGTTTCTGTGTTTTTAACAGGTCTGTAGCTTACCCAACAATCACGATGACGTTCAATAAGTTTAGACCACCTCACGTCTGGAGTGTCACGTGACTGTCTCGCATAGGTGGCCCCTTATCTACTCATTTCTGTCAGAATGTCGAAAACAGCCCTCAAGCGGTGATATGTGAAACTAACAAAACTTCAAATAGTATAATGTTGGTAGCTGAAAAATAGCTCTTTTGAACTAACTCGAGTTTGTTTAAATCGGCTCGGCCGTTTCAAAGATACAGGGTGTTCTTTACAGAAACCTTTGAATACTCTCCACCACTTCATTTTTAGAGATACAGGAAAAATTGTTCAGATTATCGTCAACTTCAAAGACCGGACATTTTTTTGTTAGGTTAATAAAGTGAAATTCACAGAAACATCACTTTTTTAGATTCCAGATTGCAGTTACGCCCCCTAGCAGTCATTTCAGAAACATAAAAATAATTTCCAGGTTTTTCTCGTGGCCGTTTTAGTAATAAATTTTTTTACCGCAAGCGTCTACGATGGGTAGATTCTCAGATACAGTACCTCGCATTCTTAGTTGGCCACCCTGTACAATACAGGAATACCGATTCCATAAAGTACGATAGATACCTAGTCACATTTGCTTCTATTTTGTATTTAAACACATACCGTTTTTTTAAGGGCGTTAAATTAATATTTGTGGTTAAATAATAAGAAAAACCCTCAAGGAAATCCGGTATTACAAATTAATCGAGCTAGAGACAGACTCGAATTGTTTTGAGAATTTTTGTTTGAATCCATTTCGGAGGGACCTTTTGAATTTTAACTTGAAGCAATGAAATTTCCATAGGTAACCTAATTTTAAGATTATGAATTGCGTGTAAAGAACATAAATTATTGTCATATTATTGGTTACAAAAGGAATGTTAGATAAAAAAGGTGGCCGCTAGGTAATTGCAATGAAAATTAATAATCTCGAGCCAGCCGTCGACATAATAGTTAAGGGCGAGTATAAACGGTAACTACCCGTTACAACGTTACTCAAAGATTTAGTGCTTCATGCATCCGGTCTCTTCCGATTTCCAGCGCCCACCCGTCCATTTAAATTGATTCATTATCAAATTGATTACAATTTTATCTGTTATTCACTCTTCCCATTTGTGATTATGCAGTTCCTAAATTCTAACAGTACGTTTATTATGTAGATTTTTTTGTCTTCTCGTTCTCCGGTGGCTGTATTGTAACTATTTTGTCTACGTCTATTCTGAGGTAAAAGCGAAATTAAACATGTATTTCATAGAAAAAAAAGGAAAACAAAAATGTATACACAGTAGCTGTCGCGAGCTCGAGTATTTAGTTCTTTGTTTACTGAAGAAAAAAACAAATGGCTATGACTGAGAGGTGGAAATAAATAAATAGGATTTCAGGGTCCGCGCGCTACTTATAATTCCACTCATTAGTGTAGGATAACGCATAAACTGACCATTAGTGTTTCATTTACCATATAGGGAAACATTTTTATATCCATAGACCAGTACAAGCGTCAAGCTACTTCTTTTTATAACTATTTTGTAATTTGTACCTGCTAATCGGCTTACAATAAAGCGCAACTTTTATTTTTTCACGACACATTCCATAGAAATAAATATAACCATCTTAGAAACTCCCTAAATAGATATACCTACGCTCGGGGAATTTCCTCTATCAATTACTGCTTGCAACATGAGAAAAACGAGGTAATTAATTAAACCGTTTATTCCTTTTTAGAATTTGAAAATCGAAAGGCAGAATGAGGAAGTACAATTTATGTAAATGATATGGGTCAGAAGCCCTCCCTTTTGGGCGGCAAGACGAATAAACCAAAGTTACCAATTTTATGGATCTTACGTGGAGATCACGCGAGGCATCGACCAAATCCGGAACAACCCATCAAATTTCAATATAAGACGAGACGGAAAAAGTCATCGGGTGTACAGAAGTATCCGACTCTTAATACACATATCAACAATAATTCGAATAGCAGTACAAAAAACGACCTAAAATGCCAAATAGGAAAGACACAGGGTGTACCGCCGTTGCGCGCTAAGTCGGAACCGTCGCTGGTACCGGAAAAGGAAAGGCACCGGAGGAGAAGAAAGCCGAGAAATGCTGGTAGCTATGAAAAATGTAAGGTGTTCGAGCAACGTTTTGGATATGAGATTGAAGATGTCGATGCTTTTTTAACGAAGGTAAAATACTTTGAATTTTGCTATTGAATTTTTTGTAGGGGTGTTTTTTTCGAATTTATGAATGGGCGTAATAATTTTGAAGATTTGTTGTAATACGGGTACCTACTTAATATTTTGCTGTTCTGCGGGCGTAAGTATTATGTTTTGGTACGCCACTGCATATTATACAAGAGCAACATGAAGTGCGCATTTTCCATGGGATAGCCCCAAGGGCCATTTTGAAATTGCTTTGAAAACATACATTCATTTTTATTTAGTACCAAGCGTTGCATGGGTCCCCCTTCCAATTTATTTTTCATAAAAATTACAGCCCTGCTATGGTAACTTATTTGCTCGTACTTAAAATTTTTTTAATCAAGTTTTCTACAATCAATTGCTTTTTTATACGAGTGCCCCAAAATTTGTTGTTCCTTAACCCTCTTCATTTTTCTACGGGCACTTGACTCTTGATAATTGACCAAAAATTTGATCAGTTAGTCTCTTGTCCATTGTTTACTTATTAGTGAATTGGAAAATTCGAAACCCTGCGCGAGTTACCATGTACAGAGCCGGAAGGACGGATGGCCAGAAAGTCCAAAGTCATTAACTCTCTTTTAGGAGCTCGTTAATAATCTATGCAGGCTTCCCCTCTTCTCCCTTAAGACAGAAAAAGTTTTATGGTCTGGTACACCTATACAAGGTATAGGCAAAGATTCCAGCCCTCTAGGACCCTAGTAGTTGTATTGAGCACGGATCTGGTGGTCCAGAATAATACTCTTCACTCCAATAATAAACCTTGCATGATCGTGCTGAAGCTGTATGTACAAAAAATTAAATGAAATGTTCTCTGCCGTAGGCTAGCCCGGGGCTAGTGTCTCAAAATTTGACAAAATATATGGATGTTACTCGATAACAAATTTACGAGTCAACCTAATTTGCTGTTTATTTAATTTAAAGTTTTCTCGATTTTGTAACACGGTCGTTTTAATCACTAACTGTTTCGATTGATTTTCTCTTCTGCTTCTCAAACGACAAATCGACGTACTTGTATCCGCTTTGCTTACACACTGGAGACAGTGTTCAACACCTTGGGGTTTAGGGCACTTAGAAGCATAATAACCCGTTTCCGTACGATTAAAACATTTTATTGTCTGTACACTTTACCATTTTAAAGTATTGTTTACGTACGTAGGTACGTACGTTCCCAGTTTTCCCAGAACCCGCGATCCTCAACGCAGAATCGTCCCGAGAACCACTGAGATAGGCAAAGTGGATTTTTATTTATTTATTTTAAATTAAAAAAATAAATAAAAATACACGTACGGACCCCTAGGAGTAGTCACCATAGGGGAGGATTCTAATTCGTGAGAAAATGTGTTATTTTAATCTGGCGTCGTTTTTTCTTACCGAGATGTGGTCATCTTTGACCTTACAATTTTTCCCACGATCGGCAATGGAAGTGTAGAAAAAATAAGTATCGGGTAACACGCATTTTTGTTTTGTCATAGAGGTTGTGTATATGTCTACAGGGTGATTTACTTTAATTGTGTCAAAAATCGGCAGCCAGAGCGACCCTTTTTTTCACCCCTAAAAGGTCCTTAAAGTTGCATTAAAAAAATATTTTTTCGAGAATTATTAGACTTATCAAGGATGGTATACTGTTTTGATATAAATATCAATAGTTATCCTAACCAAACAGTCGGAAATTGAAGTACTGATTAATTCGCTCATTTGATCCAAATGCTTGGTCTCATATAATGAATGACTCCTTTGATTTTGAAGTTTCACGACGATTATTCAAAATTACGTAATTCGACGGTAACTGTCAATGTTACATAAAAAAAAGTATTTGCGCACGGATGGACGACGAATTACGTCTAGTTATCCGTATTCGTAACTAAATTTACTGTCTTGCAAATTAAACTTTATTTAGGGTCACACAACTTTACTTCATCTTCACGTTTAGAATTTTACGTGTTTGCTGTAATAGTTTGCAATTCGCAAGATATCGTTTGCAATTGAAGGTCCTAAACTTCGAGTTCAATGTACAGGGTGGTCTAAATTGGACACTCTCTTATGAAAACACCCTTTATTGTAAGAGATAGGAAAAATGGACCTAGTCGTATGGAGCCCAATTTTAAAACGAAAATCACTGGCGCAAACAGAATTCAGCTATCTCTAATTGTTTGGCTGTAAGGAGGCTTCTCGAATTTAGTCGATTTCCTTAATGCCCCATAACTTTCTTATTATTAAAGATAATTGATTTTGGTAAAATTTTTCTTAGAGCACGTTGTTATGTAGAATTCATTGCGATACACAATTTTTATACATGGTGTTTGATTTTTCTTATAAGACCCTAAATTATATTTTTTTATATAGACTACCCTATATATTTTTGAGTTTTTGAAAAGAGCGAAAATTTCCACAAGTATCACTTATATTTATATTAAATATTATTTGCAATACTGCATTTTATACATTAAAATGTTTTTAATGTGGGCATCTAGGTTTCCGTAGCGAACAAAAAATGGCGGGATGTTACCCAGTTACCCTTGAAAAATCGTTCCGTAATCTCGTCATCCTCCAGGACTTCTCGGCGCCTCAAGCTTTCACACGCATTCAAGCAGTCAGGGCCGCATTCAGGAAACACTTGCCCGTACATAATCGAAAAAATGTATACAAAATTCGTTGACGGGCTTCCGTTACAGGCATCCTATAAATTAGTGTACACTGAAGATGTTGAGACTTTTGGAAAAATATTTGCAAAATCGTAAAGAGCATTCCCAATCTCTTATCCAAAGAAGTATCACCCTTCGTGATAGTCTGGTGGTTCTCGAGAAAAAAATTAACAAAGTAATGTAGTGTTATAGACTTTTTCTTCTAAAAGAAACAGTATTGACTTTTGGTTTATTTTAAAAACATTTTTGGTTTGGTTCCCTATATCATGCGATTTTTTTTGTACAACTCAAATGTTACACCCTTGTATGTAGTACAAACTTGAAGGTTAGATTTCATTGGGTATTTTGTCAATGTATTGTTAAAGATTTCATTGACGTAATCAATGAAACCGTGCTGATGTTCCATGTAGGTACCAGGTTCGCCGGAATAGGCGATACAACTTATAAGATTTCAAGATTTTTCAAGATTGTTTTGAAGGTGCCCATGAAGATTTTTAGTGAAATTTTTTCGAAGAAGGTGTCAAAACATCTACACTTCTCAGAATACAAATCAGTTTTTAGGAAACTTTCGTAAAAAAAAATTCAAAGGATTAAGGACCTATTCGATTTCGAGAAAAATTTCTAAAAAGGTCTTCAAGATTATTTTATAATTATTGAAGATGTTTAACTTCGAAGTGCCTAATGAACATTACTTGGTAAATGGCATTGTACTGCTACCGATACCTACTTCTTTAAAAACAAAATTTTATTAGAGTTCACAGTTACAAGGTTTCGAAATATCTATTTTATATGATTAATAGGTGGGATAACATAAATTAGTCGCATTGCTGAAAATAATCAGCGGATATTATGTACGTATGGCAACAACGTTTCATTATTTTCAATTGAAAAATCTGCCGTGAAAAATTTGATTATGAGTCGAGCTATTATAGTAGGAAATAGGACGTGATGAATCGGAATGAAATGCAAGATCACTCGACTTTTATTTACCTAAACAAAAAAATCCGTCAGTCAGGTTGCAACAACATCGCGGTACTAACAGTCATCGCAGTCAATGGATAATTACACTTGTTCGTCATTACGGATTAATTTCCGGAAGTAATGATTGAAGAAACATTGACCCGTTATCTATTGGGTTAAATAGAAAAATAACTGCTTTATTACACAAAATTGGGACACGCTGTATACATATTTTTGCCTGTAGGTAGATGTGCACAAAAATTGAGTACAACGTGATGTAAATTATACTATTAAAGCTATAAATTACGCTATAATCCCAGTGTACGTATATAGTAATTCGCTAATTAGTAACATTGATTACAATCAGTTTGAGACCTAGTTATCTATGTAAAGGCAAAATCGACGTCATAACAACGTCTCAAAAATGGCTCTAATGATTATTTATGACTTTCTCACGACTGCAACGGTCTATAATAAAGCAAACATTTTCATTCATCTCGGCCCGTTTTCGTTACCCAATGATCATTATCGTTAATAATCATTTTTTAGATAGGTACCCAGAACAAAAAGTTATTATACTAATTATGGGTTTACAACACGGTTACGCCTTTGTATTTAATTATAGGCATGTTAAATGAAACTGAAACACAAATTAATTTGTTAATGGGAAATAAATACCGCTAATAAATAAACACACACGCCACAGGCACCAAAATCTCATCACTATGGGGACCATAAATTTCCATTTTATTATTAGTAGGTAACCGTTGCCATATTTAAATAAAAAGAATGGGAATGCGCGTTAGAATTTTATTTAGAGAAAACGCCAAAACGAACGAATTAATAACAATCCAAACAAGTAAAGTATAGGGACCGTCGTTCTCTACCATTTTACAGGTAATAATTTATGCCTTCGGACGTATAAAAAAAGACAAAGATGGGACCGGCCTGTAGTTAGAGGGCCATAGCTCATAGTGTACGCGGCCCATCTGTAAACATAATGGTTACTCTGTCAAGATGGCAATTAAACCACCTCGCATGATAGGTCAGAGGGCATCGAAGGTAATCTTGATATCTATACACAGTTCTTAAAGTTAAAGAAAGAAACCGAACGTTTTTTTTCTTTTTATTATTATACCTATTACACACACGCACGTTTCATTTTTATTTGCAGGCCACCATCGATAAACCTGCAAATATACCGGTCGTCCTCTCGTTTTCTACAATCCTTTATCAGACGAGAACGGGAGGTTTCCAATCAGAAATTCAGTTACCGTTAGGTATGGTTGTTAATGCAGTCTTTAAAAATCAAAATTGGCTTTATGTACAAACACCGCATACCGAAGAAGGATACGTTAATTACGCCGCCTGTTTGCCATTAGGTAGGTATGGTATTAAGATGTTACTTTAGATAACGCACAACGAAACGTTTCAGGCATTATCCCTCCGCCGACGGACTCTCCCGTGCCGTGTTGGGAGAACAGCACCGACGTCTTCCCTAAGCCATCGGGGAATATGACAGACACCGAAAAATTGAGTTCGCGCTCCGAATGCAGTTTGAGTAGGTGTCACAGCAGAAGGTCTCGAACGGCTTACAGTTCTTGTGGGGAAAAGAGTGTCGATAGATTGTATTTGCAAGCGGCGGCGTGTGCAAAAATCAAAGGAACTAAACAAACTCTTTTAGTAGTGTACTGTGATTACCAGGGGAAAGGAGAGAACGCGATCAGTGTCACCAAAGGAGATGTGGTCGTGCTTGTTAGTAGTCATCTTAAAGGATGGTTCTGGATACGAAATAAACATGGCCATGAAGGGTTTATACCATCAGCCGTTGCTGGACATGGATATTTGTAAAATAATGTATTATAGTAGTCATTACAATTATTTATTATTAATGTCTTTTATTGCAACCCAGATAAAATTTAGTTTGATGATACCTGCTCGTAACAGTTTATGCCGACGGCTAGCTCATGATTATTAACCTTGACTGCAATTACCTTCTAGGAAAGTGGACTTTTTTCTTTTACCTCTATTTGATTTCAGATAAGAAAACCGAGATCTTAAATAATTCCGTATATTAAATAAAAAACCAAAATTCGCTTTCATTTACATATCTCATAATTTAAATTTTACTTCAAATCCCGTACAAATCGTACGTTTCCTATCTAAGTTGCCATTTTTCAATCTAACTTAATTTCTTTAAAACGATAGCGATTACTGCTCAGTTGGTATAAATAATTCGCAATCTTAAAACCTACACATATAGGGTCACTGATACATCTGGAAACGGTCGATTATCGAGGGAAAATACACAAAATATCGAAACAAGCTTATTAAGTTGCGTCATAATGGCGTGACACGCCAAAATTCCATCTTCTTCAATGGAATACCCTGTATATTATTTGATAATTCAATTCTACTCTTCAGTTTGTAAGAAGCATTATGCCTACCTACCTACCCAAATTCACTATTTTCCGGGTTATCGAGTGTTAAAATTAAATTAAATGCTATTACTTTAAAATTTATTGAATGATTGAATCATGGCCTAACTTATTAGGCCATGGATTGAATGAAGATCAATAATTCGAAACAGGCATAAAAAACATCACAATCCGTTCTTTTCAGAACCACTGTTTTCAAAAGAAATTCTTGATGTCATTAATTATTGCTCTTCATTTAATTAATTTTAAAACAGCGTTCATTTTTCAAGACTCAATGATCCGGAAATGATTGAATCTATATGCATTATGCTTCTTACAAATTTTGCTTTGCGAATAATATACAGAGTGTTCCATTTATAAAAATGCAATTTTGGTGTGCCACGCAATTTTTTGCACCACGTCGTCCGTCGACACGACCGAGATCGTGTCTTTGTGCATTATCTTATAACGACTTTTCGTGTTACATCTATCTCAATGTTTGTCAAAACCACGCCGATTGAACATCCGGCTCTGCTCTACCAATACATTCATTTCCTTTTAGCAATCACATTTCCAGAAAAACAGTTTGCCGCACACCTACAGATTTTCACCTGTCAAGTCCGCCTGTCGCAGGTGACCTACCAAGTCCACCTCTTAATCCACACCTACAGGTCCACCGTCCATCTCGGTGGAGCGGTTATGACCTCACTTTTTCCGTCCCTCTGCCCGTCATTCGGCGCTATAGCTCACTCTCTAGACCTCGTATCGAGTTCGTGTTTTCGATATATGAAAGCTTATGCATTCCAGATGTGGAACTATCAAAAATTAACTTTGGCATGCATCACGTTGTTGCCTAAAATCGGTCAATTTCGTTATAAAAATGACTAAACTCTATTCCTTGATGCCAAAGAAGTGATTCATATGAATTTTTGGTGTCCAAAATATGTTTAGCCAAAACATGTTCTTTATGCATCAATTTTCTTGGGAAAAAGATCAAAGTCGATTGCTCGATGCCCAAGAAGTAAACCATATCTATTTTTAGCGACGAAAATAGTTTTACTCGAAAGACGTCAAAATCGGGTGCACACAAGTCGAAGGGCAGGGCAAGCGCAATTAATTTCATCTTATGGCGCGACAATCTGGTGCTTCTAAGCTTTCACACGCAAATGCATAGTCAGGGCCACAATTCAGGGTCATTCAACCAAAATTTCGAAGAAACCTGCCTTCTAATGAGACCGCTCCTTTCAACTCGTAATACCCAATTCTAAAAATGCGCGCAACCTCAAAGAAATTCATCTCTAGATCTAACTAGGAAGGAACCGCCCTTTAATTACTAAAATCAATTTCAAATCTCACCCACATTACCATGTGTCTTTTTTTCTCATAAAAATGAAAAATGTTGCAGGTAGTAACAGAAACAATTAGAAAATACCAAATTTCATCTTCTGAATTCGCACAAAAATCAAACTAGTTTGACCAATTTTCGAATAATGTATAGGTAGGGTAGCAATACACAGGGCCGGCTCAAGACAAAAGTTACGTGCCGCCGCGCTAAAGCCTAAATACACCCAAACATTATTTATCACTCAGTTTAACACAATTTATAACAGTGGGGACTATTTTTTACTTCTGTGTTGAAATTGGAACTTTCCTGAAACGCAATGCGATTTGCTTATATAGCCAACTTGAGTATTCTCGAGTGCTCCCGAATGGTCTTGAACATTCTAGAACAAAACACATCACATTTCCCGGAAAGATTATCACATCCGCCTTTGTTCTTTAGCGCCGATTATTAATCTTTCATGGCGCCTCGATATCTATCGAGATTTCTGGAATATTCGCAACATAATTTCTCAATATATTAGGAATTTTTTCAATATGTTATATCGTGATCGTTTTATCCTAAAAATAGAAAACGCCGTCGGTGTTTTACATCCGTGATTCGGCAGTCATTAAATTTGGATAATTTTGCGCCCCTCCTTGGTGGGCGCTGTAAGCGGAGGGTTACACCGCTTACGCATAAAGCCGGCCCTGGTAATACATGGTGTTCCAAAGAAAATTTGTAACGCCCTAAAACTCTAATGTAGGCCTAGTGGTAGTTTTAAAATTGATATTATTGAACGTCAATGTTGGTTGGATGATGTGTATGGAAAATTCCGTTCATTTGTACTTGAAGTCTTTATCATTTTTTATGTAGGTAAATGTTTAATTTGCGGTTATGTTTCCATGGTCATCTGTTTATGTAAAAATTAGCAAATTACTGGATCGTTTGAATTAACATGTCGAATGATTACTAACCCTTTTTAGAGTAAAGAGACACTCCCTAAAATGCAACTAACCATACAGAAAACCACATTAGAACATCCAGCTGGGGTATGATCTCGCAACTCCTTTGTATAGACTGTGACGCCACGAACGAGAGGGTAGATAACAATCCTATGGGTCGGATTCTATTAACAATAATTTTAGGTTTTCATTCTATGTGCGATATGAGTAACCATTCACTGGTTTGGTATTAACTTGTTTAAACGAATAATTTTCCATGTACCCTTTGACAAAGGGTTTTATTAAACCAAACATGAATCACCTATTTGACATTTGTTAACACTTTCACTGTGAATCAGGAGGTCGCGTGACAAATAACTGTAACCACATTGGTTACGACACCTAATACCTGCACTGTTCTCGAATCTCAACTATATGCTGGGAAATCCCGCACCAGGGCCTATATTGCTACCTGTTGTAGGGCTGGAACTCAGCTAACACAAAAACCATCTTCAATATCAGAGCCCGTAAAGTGGATGTACAATGTTATGGTTTTCATAACAAATGGATCTCACTGGAGTGGTTTTTTTTAAGTTCATTTTGCTTCTCTAAGCAGGTAACAATAATTGTTGTTGTTTTGGTGTGCCCGAACAGCACAGTTCCCAGTAAGAAGGGGAACTGGCCATTAAAAACAATACAACACCAAAAATTAAACTTAAACGCTTTCTTAAAAATAATCAGGTACACTTTAAAAAACAATAAATATTTACAAAGTACTGATACGGAAGTAAACGTTTTAGCTCTCAATACACAACCACTAATTTAATTAGACGGAGCATACGAAGTAGACAGAGAGTTGACATAACTTGTCGATGATGTCGACTTAAACACCTAAACACAATTACTATTAATTTCTACACATTACCAGTAACACATACCTGTACAGAACTGCCAATGTAATTCCTCTGAAAGTTGTAATTCTTATTCTTCGCAGGATCTGGATAAAGACCGGGCAATGGCATACTCCCCTACAAAAATTTACTACACTCTCAAAAAGGCAAAAAGCCCACTACCTTATTGATCTCCGGAAATATTGCGCTAAGATTGAAACTCGTTAGCGACGAACCAGCATTAGCGGTGACACCAGCCGGGACGTCGAAATTCTGCGTACTACTCCTAGTCACGGGAACGGGTGGTAACGGCAGTAACTCGGACGACTGCTTCCCATACAAGGGATTTTTGCATGGATAAAGTTGGCTGGGTGTTGGCGGCGGAAGGAAGTTGGAATGCGTGTGAAAATCGTCAGGCAAAATGGGAGAATTTATGGTATTTGGCATCGAGAGAAATCCGAAATCGACAATACCGGGCAAATTTGATTCATTCGGCTGTTTGCTTTTCGATTTTTTTATGAAATTATTCGTGGTACTTGCACAATCCGCGTTAACCTGACCGATTTCCGCGCGATTTGCGACCGATGCCTGTTTAACTGGATCATTTCTGTTACAATGCTTGCTATCGATTTTTTCATCGGAAATCATCGAGGGAAAGTTTTGGAATTCGGGCATCAAGCTTGACGGCTGTAAGTAACTGGATGTTATTGTTGGGCCGCTTGAGACGTACGAGTTATTTTGCACTGATGTGTTGAAGCTTTGATAGTTCGTATTGGATTGCATAAAGTTGTTATCTTGCGGTATTTCAACTGGTGGGAAGTATGGTACGATATTATCAGATAAAAATGTTGGAATAGGCAGTGCTTTATTTGTCGTTGGATAGGGTGCTTGTTGTCGGTACCTTTGCTTGGGTAGTGACGTATCGGTGTGATCTTGATGACCAATTAATGCCTCGGCGGAATAACTACTTTGAGGGTTCTTATGAGGGTGACGGTTTGGTTTTGTACAATCATTCATCCAGGAGTGTTCGATATTTGACATTCCATAATTAACATTTTGCTTCTTATCCATACTGAGAGAACCTACATCTAATAGTTCCTTGTTTTCGACGGGCTTTGCCGTTTTTTTCTGCGAATTACTCTTTACATTTCTATTGCCGCTATTACGGCGGGTAGTGGTTCGAGACGAGCTAGCTTCAGTCTTATTCTCGACTAGTTGACTAACAGACAAAAAGTTACTTTGGTTATCATAGGTGACCGAATTAACTTTCGACCTTCTAGTGCTCTCCTTCGTCTTAGGTTGCTCACCCTTCTGCTCGTTGAACTGCGTCTGCGCAGTACCCAAGGCGAGATCGCCGACCAATGTAGGTAGCGTGGATGAAACAAACGTATGGGGCGTCTCCAAGAATTGAGGTAATTTAGTTGGCGACCATGGAAATTGGTTTTCCTCAAACTCGTTGCGCTGTGACGAATTTGTCGGTAGAATTGGAAGACTACTGTCAAAAGCTTTGCGATTGTCTCCAATGGAATTTTGAAACTCGGTGCTCGGATACATGGACGAGGTCGTATTAAAATAAGTTGTGTGCGTCGAGCTAGACGTATAGAAAGTGTTCGGATTATAATCAATGGGAGGCACTAAGTAATCACCGCTAGGTGGTTGTGATCGAAAATCGGGTGTTGTCATCCAATTGATGGGTGGTTTCGGATTAGTTTTGGTCGATTTTGTATTCGGCTTGGGCTGCGTCTTATTTTGATGATAGTAAGGCATGTGGCGCTTCCTGCTGTCACTGCTATTATAGCTTATCTCCGAATAATTTGTGGCATTATAAGCATTATTGGGCTTAGACGATTTGGGAGGGTAGTATACATTTTGATTAAAATTGGTCTCGTTGTGATGACCGTAACCGTAATTACTATTCGTATACAATGGATCTGAGTATGATTTTGAGAAACTTGGGTACGAGTTCGGTTTCGAAAAATCGGAAAACGGGTTGAAAGCATTGCACTGTGCTATACTAACCGGATTATACTGCATATCGGCAGGCTTACGTTGTGTACTCGTGCAATTATTTGTTGGTACACTATTCTGCAAGTAGCTGCTAGTGACTAACGGCGGCGGGAGAGACGGTTTTGAATATGAGACCGCAGGAGTTTGTTGTGTGAACGAATTTGAGACTACCGACATAGTCGGTTTCGAAACAATCGCCGGCTCAGTGGAATATACAGGTAGACTTGTAGACGTAGTACTCGCAACCTTAGCTGTACTCGAAACGTCGGTAACTTTCGCGCAAGCTGACGAGATTTTGGCACTATCGACAACGGATCCATTATCAAAGGAAGGATAAAAATTATTGGCGGAGAAAAACGAAAAGTTATCCAAGTTGAGAAGGTTAGGCGTTAAACTCTCCGCATTTACACTTTGAGTGGTCTTTGTAGTTTCCATGGTACCAATCTGCAACAACGTCGGAGTGCCATGTCTACTATCTGAATTTTCCTCCTCAATTACTTCGGTGACCTTTACTCCCGTTAAAGAAGACACTAGAGGAAATGCCAAAAGAAACGCGGCGGTCGGTGAAGTTGACTCCGGGTTTTGACCACCTATGGGTACTTGTAATGTAGAAAATATGTCATTGGATAGCTCGGAATGATTCAAATTAACAGCCAGCTCGCTAGTGGTTGTTGGAGGGGGAGTATTTATTTTATCTTGTTCTTGTGATTTCGCTGGTGCCTCTACAGGCGGATCCTTCTCTTTGGGAATGGAGTCTTGAACTTCTTCAGTTGTTTTGTCTTCAATTACAGGAGCGACGATTTCACTTTGTTCAACTGTATCCATTTTTTCCTCATTTACACCTGGAACTTCCTCTGGCGCGTTTTCTTTATTTACAGGAGGTTCTTTTTCAACAATTTCACTTTCATTAGCACTCACCGCTGGGTTTTCAACTTTATTTTCCTTATTTTCATCTGCCTGCGGTTTGTTTACTGGCGCAGGTTTCGACTTTTTGTTTGGAAATTGATTGTTTGCAACTTTCCGTTTAGTTTTCTTATTGGTTTTATTTTCAACTTCTTTTTTCTTTGTAATTACTTTCTCGGTAATAGTCTCTTTAAACCTAGGTATGGCCGGTATAGGAACCTTATTTGATTGAGTTGTACAGGTGATAGGTTTAGGTCGAATTCTAGGATGTATTGTTACATTATTATTTATCGCCACTGATTTTGTTGCGCTAGTGGCAGAAGTAGCTGGTGGCATTACGATAAGAGTAGTGTTGGCGGGAGGCGGTTTAAGTATAATGGGGGTTGGATTTGTTAATATTGTAGGGGATGGTAGGACAGCTGATGGTGGTAGAATAGGTACAATGTTACCATTTGCCAAAATTAAAGTTCCTGGGCCTAACTTATTGAGTGTTTGTGATGAGACCTTCGGTAAAGTTGTTGTACTTAGTGGTGGTTTTATTACTGAAGCCACCTTTGGAGTTGTAAGTGAGTTGGAATTCGTTACAACTGCAATATAAATTAAACCTCAATAACGCTCAGAAATCCTGGAATATAACACCCCCTCACTTATGCTAAAATCCAACTACCTAATTCTAATATTTGTACCTAATCATAGCAGTTGACGCATACATTTTCCCATTTCAGGCTAAATAAAATCTTTGCAACCCACGACTTAATTGAAATAATTTTGCATAATTATAAACCAAGTGCAAAAGTTTCAAGTGATATTTTCAATCCTATTATACATCGGGAAACATCGCGCGTGTCAGATTTCTTAAAAACCCTAGGCACAAAGTTGAGTTTTTTGTTTTAATTGGGCGCGTTCAGCCGACGCAACAGTTGATTTAAACCAGAAATATGTTTTAGGTGTGGTGACATTCAACATAAAAACAGCGCCTGAACGGTGATTGCACTTCAGTTGTCGCTAAAAACAGTATTAATTTCTATAATAAAACATACCTCCTATAATACCTGCATTTTTTGCCACCAATTTATTATTAATTATAAAATAATCCTTCCTTTATATTGAGTCTACAGACCAACATAACCACTATAAAATTTCAAAGAATTATATTACAAACTATTAAATTTAAACATCTGACATAACCATGAGTACCAACCGAAAAATTTAGCATGAGAACTCTTATCTAGGTCGTACAGAATATCCGGTCGTAACTGCGGTTTTCAACCTACAGAACGCACAAACAAAGAACATCGTTTGCTATCCCGATGTGCCTGAAAGAAGCTCTTCAAGATAAAGAGAACTCTATACAAAAACTTATGAATTATTTGGTCTGCACAAAATTAATCTTACAAGTGTAATAATCAATATATTTGAAACAACATAATGTAATCATATCCAGTGAAGTGAATAGTAGTCTTAGTATATGTACATAATTATTGATGTATATATTTAAATTTTTCTAAAATATTGTATACAGATGCATATAGCCTTAGCAGCTGCGCATCTTTTTTTTTAAATAAAAAAAACAACATTAAATCTAACTGTTGTTGCTTCTGGAACTTCACTTCTTTACTTGAATTTAAATTTCGATTTAGACAGCACTGACTTTGTTTGAAATGCAGATGTAAAATTGGCTCATGGATAGTGGAAACACTCCCTTTAACTGGTACTAGGAAAAGCTTCACATAAGCGATATACGCTCGATAAAAACAACACTCCGCCAGTAAATGACCGTTTTGGCGTGTAATTTTTCGCGCCTCGACGGATTTGCTTGAAAATTTGGATTTAGGTTCATCTTACCCTCTCTTAACTCTAAAAGTAAGTATTGTATCGAAAAAAGTAATCTTATTAAAAATATAGCTTATAAAAAAACAAACAAAATGGTCTATATATGAAGTCTGTAGACTCAGTAGAAGCAAAGTTGTAGCTAATGGAAAGTAGGTTCCTATTCGTCAAATTTCAAACTGAAATAACCAAAAAATGAAGCACTTTTCGGTGAAAACTTATGAATGCTTTTTTAAAGTGTTTGAAAAATCTTTCTTTTTGTTTTTAAGAAAAGTTCCTACCATCAAAACTAAGTGAGTTCCGCTCAAAATAAAGTTGGTCCTTTTTTCGAAAAAAAAAAAAATCAAGGAAATCACCCCCTAATTAGCACCCCAATTTTAATTAAGCGTTACCGCTTTACAGTTTACTTTATTTATGTATTGATTATATGATCTGTAAGTTTGACCGGTGCAAAGTGCGATTTACAAAAAGCGCATTTCCACTTGCATTCATTTCCCATTTGTAAGGTGCAACTTCTGTTAAAATCGTAAAAATCTGGCCACAAATATGAAAGATAGCGTTACAAATGTGCAATCTATTTTTGACGTGCTACTTCAATTTCAGTTTATAAGAAGAATTTCAATGCTTTTCTAAATAAAAAAGTTGGAACTGCGCATGCGCAAATCTAAATTTTGAAACTAACGTTAGATTTTCCTTAGTTCCAAGCGCCTATGTATCAAATTTCATTTAAATGCTTCCATAAATAAAAAAGTTGGCACTGCGCATGCGCAAAACCAAATTTTGAAACGCGTTCGTTTGATTTTCCTTTATTCCAAGTGCCTATGTATCAAATTTCGTTTAAATTCTTCCATAAATAAAAAAGTTGGCATTGCGCATGCGCAAAACTAAATTTTGAAACTCGCGTTTGATTTTCTTTTATTCCAAGTGCCTATGTATCAAATTTCGTTTAAATTCTTCCATAAATAAAAAAGTTGGCACTGCGCATGCGCAATACCAAATTTCGAAACTTGCGTTTGATTTTCCTTTATTCCAAGCGCCTATGTATCAGATTGCATTCAAATACTTTTATAAATAAAAAAATTTGCAATTCGGTTTATAAATGGTCGAGATGCGAAAAGGGCACTGTGAATTTTGAATCGATTCGACTCAACTTTTGGCATTGCGTATTATATGGCTAAAGCTATGCCCATATTGAATTTCATGCAATTCAATTCATAACTAACGGAGGTGTCAAAGCGATCGGACATTTATAAACAAAGTTATCGTTCACACGGACAGATAGACAAAGGAACAGACGGACAGACCAACAGACAGCAATACAAAATTATAAACGATCTCTAGGATCGTTAATAAACGGCAATAGTGTAAAATTATGGAACATGTAAAAAACGGTTTGTTGGTTTTTTTAAAATAACTTTTTTAGCAATAAACGCAGAAAAAATTCCTTCCTTTATGCAAGCCTCGACGCCATAACGAACCAAATAGCGAAAAAAGTAGAACAATAGCTCTTAAGATAAAGAACTAGTGGCGTCTCAACGAACGGACGGACGGATAAAGTGGCCACAATAGCGCATTTTTTTAAATTCTTGTGGAAATGCGCTAAAAACTAAGCGATTATTGTAAATTGAATTGTCGTAGAAGACACAGCTAAATAATAGACATGTATTTTTGGTTTATTTAAATAGGTACCTCTCTAAGTAAAATTACCACATGCTTTGTTTTAAACTTTCCGAACCATCTCCTCCTGATCAAATTATTGTGTCATTGAAAGAACTCATATCCAAACAACAGTTTGTGACCATATCCGGACGTGCAGCCGCTAGGAGCAGTTCGATCGTTTGAAAGTGCGAGGGCGATCGATAGCGGGGCGTTACAGAAACTGTAATTGTTTTGTCGCTCGAACAATAGATGGCGGCGTTACAAATAATTTCAGTTGTAATTCGAATGTTTTGCCTTTTAATGGTTAGATGTCAGGATGGTTTTTTGTTTTATCGAAATATGTTTGGAATGATCTAAAAATAAATCCCTTACACAGCGTAGCGTAAATTTGTAATGTAATAAACACATTGAAAATTAAGTTTCAAGGTGTGTGGTTTCACATTTTGACGATTAGTCAGTTACAGTTACATTCTAACGTGTTCTTGTTGATTGTTGGAACTTTTATTTTTGGTTAAGTGATATTAATGGTGCATTATCATAAACAGTAGGATTTAGTGTTTAGTTGTTTTGTTGTCTTTATAACTTACAAATTCAAATTTCAATGGTGTGATGTTAGGTTTATGAATCAAGCTCAGACTTAAGTTGGTGTTTATAATAAATTATTCGCCAAAGTAAATTTTTGTGAAATTAGATTTGTGTAACTACCTAAATGATGTGATATTGGAACTTACACCATTTTGGATAAAGTATTTATTTTATATAACTGCAAGTTGCATATTTTCATGTACTTATTACAAATGATTAAATATAATATTTGATCTGGCAAGTTCAAGTCCAGATTTAAATAGTGCTTCGTCGTTACTTACATCTGAAAAAAAAATGCCTGGAACGGCTTGCTACTACTTCAATTGTAACAAGAAGAAAAGCGACTTTCCATTTTTGCGAATGTTTAGGATTCCTGTAAAGGATACCCAACAGACCAAGCAATGGATTATAAACTGTGGTACGTATACCACATACTCTGTAATGACTTAATGAGGCTTTACAATAATTTAATTGATATGATAGATTTTTCTACAGTTACAATTACTTTCATGATAATTTGTACACACTCTGTGATTTAGTTGAATTATCGTAAACTCTAATGAGGTAATGTATTTAATATACCAATGAACAAAATATCAAGTTAATCGATTCATTTTGAAAAAATTGCCATGTCAAAACCTTCGTTTTCTGGATTATAAGCTATAATACAAGAGCTGATCCATTCCCAGTGAGCTTTACTGAAATGAATACGCTATATTATTTACAGGAAGAATCAACTTATTCATTATGGAGCCAAAGCAAGTACACTCCAAGTACATATGTGAACATCATTTTGCAGTAGAATCATTTATGGATCCCCAACATCGACACAGACTAATGCCACATGCTATTCCACTTCATTACAGCGATTCAGTTTCATCGGCAAGAAAATCAGCCTCGGCCAGTATGTTATTCATGTCTAAGTATACCTTACCTAACACGTTTATTATTACGCAGAGCCCCTTTTGAAGGTTAGAACTCCTACGAAAGTGTATCAGAAGAAAGACTCATCCTTTTTATCTACACCACCACACTGTTCTTCACCTGAAGGTGGATCTTCAAACAACATCGAAGAAGATATGCAATCTGTGCGGACAAGTTGTAAAAGACCTCTTACATATGAAGACATCCCTAAAGAAAAAAAACTAAAGACCCGCCTTGGTACCCCAACAAATTAATGAAATATAGACAGCAAAAAGTGGTGAGGATGAAGACAAAAATTAAAAAACTGCAACATTCCTCTAAATTACAGATCGTATTAAACAATTTGAATTTTTCAAACAAAAATTATGGCCAAAATGCAGTTTAAAACGAAGTGTTTGCAAGAAAGAAATCTTTCATTAATGATTTTCGCCCGCCTGCTATACATTTGTGCGACAACAAGGGATCATTTTACCCGCGCCATCAACAATCCGCCATTGGATTAGTAGATCCAAGGTTTTGCACAAAGTATATATACCAAATTAAGTCAATATTCCAGGAGTATGATGCAAATCAACGAGTAGCAGTTTTATTGTTTTGACAAAATGTTCATTGTGGAGTGTTTGTAGTACTCCAAAGAAATGGACATTGTAGAGGGATATGAAGATTTGGGTCATTTAGGCAGAACAACTACAAAACACGCATTGGCGTTTATGGTAAGAAGATTGTACTCCACATGGAAGTATCCATTTGCATATTTTTTTATCACATACCTACTGGAGTATAATCAGAACACCTTTCACAAATAATAACAGAAACTATTAAAGAATTAATTGATGTGAACATAGAAACCAAAGTATGTGTGTGCGATCAAAGGTGCAGCAAACCATAGTGCTCTGTCTAAGTTGGGCGTAACAACTGCAAACCCCTTCTTTACTGTGGATAAGAAGAAAATATTCGCTCTGTACAATGTTCCACATTTACTAGAGTATTCGAAACAATTTATTAAATGGAAATTTTCTAAAAGGCATTTCATGTAATTCTGTCAAAGGTTCCAAGAAAGCATGATCCTTGCCCAAATTAACGGACCCATACATTTATCCAAACTCTGTTTAAAAAGTGAGCGTAAAACGTGTGGCACAAGTGCTTAGCTCAGTCTGTGTCAAGCGTAATTAAAACATCAGTTCGTACAAGGCAACTACACAGTGAATCTGCAATAGATACAGCTGATTTAGAGGCTGATTTCTCACACCTCGTTGATAAGACTATTTGATCGTCTGGATAGCAGCACACTGTTTACATCCAGTTCATATACTTCCATATGCTTTTTCTGATACTTACAAATATGTTCAAGACACACACTCTTTCCCAAATTAGAAAAGCTGGATTTTAAAAATGGGCGAAAAACAAGGCCTCCACGTTTCGCTGGTTTCTTACAAACCGTTAGATAACGTATTTATTTAGGTTACAGTTACCTGTATAGCAATTAAGGAAAGTAAATAATGACATTCATTCATTTTTCTTGATGGTAGAGCCATCTACGTTTTACAATTTAAATTATTGAAATCAATCACATTTCTTCTCATACAACCTGCGCTTCTGATAGTTAATAAATTCAATGATAACACGCTCTTATCTCCAAATTAATTAGCCGACGCAGCGATAACGTAACTTCTTATCGCAACGACCGGACACAACCTTACAAACACTATGCAAATATTTCCAGATGAATGAGCTAAACTTTTTAACACGTAAAATACCTTTACAATTACAAATCAAAATAAACAAAACAATTATTTCAACACAATTAAACAACAAATAATTCTGGTACAAAATCAAATTAACGTCGAATTCAAATGATGTGATTGGATTCGCGTTTAATCTCGCATAATAACCACATTTACCGATACAGATAACTGAACTTCAACATACTGGGTGACTCATCAATATTATAGGTGCTCCAAACCAAACAAAAGTCCGCAGAAATACTTACTTTTTGAGTCATCCATGAAACACTGCCTGAAAATGGAGGTTTTTGGTTGAAAATTGACACTTTCACTTGCAAATAGGTCGAAAATATCGACTTCCAGTAAATTCTTTGGAAAAAAAATTTCTTAGAATTAGATAACTCCCAGACTTACTTTCAATGAAACATTTTTCACTACCGAAAAGGGACAGCATCCACCTCCCAGGGTAATAGGAACCCCCGGTACAAAGTAAACTTTGAAAAATACGAGGAAAATAAGAAAGTATAGCTAAATCCAAATTTTTAACAAAATGTGTGCTGCTTAGCGTAATTATACCGTGGACGTGCATCAACTGCTATATGATTAATACCTACCTCTACATACATAAAGGCACAGGGATTTTTAAACAAGTCGAACATTTTTTTTTTGCAAAGATTGGCTCCCTTACTATTATACAATAACCTATTTTACCTGTAGAAGCTTTGGCCTTTCCATTCTGCTGCAAGCCCAAAGGTAAGTTAAGCGTTGGCTTATTTGTAATAATAAAGCAAGGCCGATTGGATACCTTTGGAAGCGGTTGGGGGTTAGCTAACGGAATAATATTCGACAACTGTAACCTAATGACAGGAGGTTTTTTTGGTGCTAACTTCGCTTTTCGATTAACTTTTCTTTGATGTTTGTTTGCGACGGTTGTAGTCTTTTTTTTCTTCTTTACCGTTCTTTCTTTATTCTCCTCTGCAAAGTAATGTTAATTGATCATTTCCGTTTGCAAAACTCACTTTGTAATTCTTCCTTTTGAAACTCCTTGGCCTCTTCTTGCGTAATTCTGTTTGCCCATCGCCGTGGATCCTTAAAGTTCTTAACACCATACCCTGAAGGTATTGTAATGCTTGCATCTTTAAGTAGTTTACATAGCTGCTCATTGCGTAGTAGAAGCTTTTTTACACGACCATACAGCATTTTAACTTCGCAACCTAAAAAATTGTAAATTACTACGTGACAATTAAAGAAAGTAATTACGTTTAGTCTTATTTACTCCTTCTGTCGTTAGTACATTTTTAAGTTTTACTTGCAGCTCTTCAATATACTCAGTTGCTCTGTGTAGTATGTCGACTTTGCTCCATGTCAACGCAGGATCATGATTAGGAAGCAGCTTACTGAGAACGGAAAAGGCGTTGTTTAATTTATCACGTCTTATTTTTTCCCATTCGCGGCATTTTCTGCAAACGTTGATTTGATTATTTAACTAGTCACTAAAACCCTTTTACATACTTCGGTTCCCTTCTAGGTGTCATTTCTTAGGTTAGAATACTCCAGCATTTTTAAATTTTGTTTAAATTTGCTTGTTAATAATACCTCCATGCACCAAGTAATTGACTTATGTTATTGTAATGTAATTATGTAAAAATCAAACTCATTATTTACAATCAAATCCATAATTATAAAAAATTTTTAGCTAAAAGTAGAGGCTAGAGGGCACCAGCGGTCCCAACACAAAACAAATGAACTTCAATAATGTACAGGGTGTATCATAAAAAAGTCGGTGGTGAAGGGTATGGATTAACACACAACTTAATATACCTACTTGAACACTTCTAAGCGCTGACAAAGTACAAAAGGACACGGAAAGTCTGAAATTGGGAAGATTATAAAAGCTTATGAAATTATACCACGTAATATACAAAAAATAAACAGTGTTTGTGCACCGAGAATATGGGCGCTACACGAACATTTGTTTCAACACGCATTACGCACATTGCTCTTGATAGGAAAATCCCACCGACAGATGGCGCTAGTAAAAGCAAAGTGTCGGACAATCTAAATCAACAAATTACAGTGACCGTAAACCAAAAACAATTACCTAATAAGTAATTACAAACATAAACTGTTACAATAAATTCATGAGGAGTATAAATTTATTTATCGACTTCTTATCTCTTTTTGATTTTGATTTGCTTTTTAAGATATCCTCTCGATACAACGGTAATGATACAATATGCACTGAATATGAATGCAATGACAATTAAAATTATGACAGTGAGCACATCTAAGCAAAGTACTTGGAACCAGTTCAAATTCAAAGCACCCGTACGTAAATGCGGTGCGCCCTCGTGCCGTAAAACATACTCGATCCAAAACATCGCTCTGTCCAATGGCTTCATGGGTTGGTCGTGCATAATTCTCGATCTCCGAATTGCGTTCTCCTTGTACCTAGAAACGGAACTTTACCAAGTTCGTAGTCATATAAAACGTACTTGTCGTTGTTTAAAACCTCGGTGAGTGCCTTTCGAAAAGTTTCTTCGGTTAAAGCACTAAATCGCAAGAGTTTTCCGTACCCATCTGCTTCAACAACTGCCATATTCATCTCCTGGTCTCCAAAAATAGGAATGCCAACGATTGGTACGCCATGATAAATAGTTTCAATAATACTCAACAGACCGCCGTGTGTTACAAAAAGTTTAATGTTAGGGTGCCCTAAAATATCTTGTTGAGGCAACCATTTGCCAAGTTTAACATTATCAGGTTGCCCAGGTATCGTGTCATTTTCCCATTTCCACAACACTCTCTGTTTTAGTTGGGAAAATACCTTCACGATAGCGTTACGTTTGCTTTCATCCATATCGTTGCCACGCAAATTGGACCCCATGCTGAAGTAAATGACGCCATCCTCGGCTTCGTCTAAGTAATTCTGCAAGTCTCTGGGTAACTCCTGTGGTGAATTAAGATGGAAACCTCCAATCTCGATCATGTTTGGTACAAGGGGTACTGGTGAGCAGATGCTCGCGTGCGAATTTAGGAGCAATAATGATGTTTTGTAGTATAATTCGGTTATGGGCGGCGACCCTGGAAAGTTCTTTTGCAAAATTTCATTATGCTTCGGCAAAATCGACCAATAGAAGTTGATAACTCCGAAAACGACAGAGAAGGTGTTAACAAGCCGTTGGAAAAAGCTCATTTCGCTCGAATAACTTGAAAGTACTTCAGGTACGTAAGAAGGGTTAAGTGGATTGCCCATTTGTAGATTTGTAGATCTCGATAATCCAACGACACTCACCGCAACGCAATGCGCTTTGTAAAAGTTGCAGAAGCCTTTGAATGCATCATTTAGGAATTGCTCTAGGATAACCATATCAAATTCTTGATTCGACTTGAGCAAATTTTGGACACTACTTTGATTGAAAAACAGTTCTGTCAAACCTAGTCCACCCCCAGATGTGCTCCATATTTTATCTAAGAGTCCCTTTTCTGCACTTTTATACAAATTGATCGATTGGTCTACAGTGAATAATGAAATAAGAGATCGTTTATGGTTACTCACTTACTCTTCAAATAAGAATCGTAATCAATGATTATAGGTTGGTAATTTTTATTTGCCGTGTTTGGGGCAAATTTTCTTTGCACAATTGCGGTAACTTGGTGACCTCTCCTCGCCAGTTCAAGTAAAATCTTGTTTCCGAGCTGTTGATGACTACTGGAGAATCCATGAAAAATTCCAAGAATTTTTGCGCACTGTGCAAAAGTAATCAATGTTATTAGGATTAGTAAGTGAAGTGTGACTTTCATTGCTGAACTGAAATACTTAACGCGATTTATCAAATTGTGAAAGATTACTCAAACTATTTAGTAAGTTATCAGATAAGGGCATTCTATATTGTATTTCAAAACCGAGTGGTTAGATATAAATAGCAACAATTACAGTGATGCAAATAACTTATGATTGGAGTTGATAATATCTAATCATACAGACAGACTGTTACAGATGATGGAGGTGTATTTATAGATACGAGTACATTATTCAATTCGTTATTGTGGGCTAATACTAACACATGGACTTTGAATATTTTAAGATTTTTATATTCAACGCACATGGGCACAGATTAACTCACAGATATACGTATGTAAAGAACGTATATCTGCGCACATGGGTAACTCTCACACAACGTTTATTAAAACCAGATAAATAACAATGTTCATTCACAAAGTGATACGTGTAGGTGTAGGTAGGTATATGGTATATCATTTCAAATAAACTGTTAACAAACTTAACACCGATATGCTATTAGTTATAAATTCAATGCTATATGTATATACCGAGGTATATACGTTTAGAAGCTGACCTCGCAAGCTTTTGCAAGGTTTGACAACGTTGCATTTGAGATTTGTTTGGCTTTGGATTTTGAGGGTTATATTTATTTATGAGCCCTTTAGGGTTTAAAGAACATGTAAATTTTTATATGCTAGTATGGACGGAAATAATGGCACACCACTCGTTAAAATCGAACCAAAACAGGAAGAAGAAATCCATTCCTCTTTTCAAGGAAACTGTTTGGTGAGCAACGAAGCGTTGGTTACAATAAAAGACGAAATTACAATTACTACACAGTGTTCTAAATCTCTTTATAATGAAGAAGTACAGCAACACTCTGACTTTCAACGTCACCTTTTAAGTAAAACAGTGTCTAAAAATTTTAAATGTGCTGATTGTGATTATGGGACAAATGATAAATGCAAAGTCAAACATCTGTTGAAACTTGAAGTTCTTAAGAATTTTAAATGTACCGATTGTGATTATAGGACAAATGTTAAAAGCAGATTTAAACGACATCTTTTAATACATAAAGTTTCTAAGCATTTTAAATGTGCCGATTGTGATTATCGGACAAATGTTGAACGCAACTTCAAAGAACATCTTTTAAAACATAAAGTTTCTAAGGATTTTAAATGTGCTAACTGCGATTATGCGACAAATTATAAACGCAACTTAAAACAACATCTTTTCAAACATAAAGTTGCCAAGGGTTTAAAATGTGGTCATTGTGATTATGAGACAAATGTTAAACGCAGCTTCAAACAACATCTTTTAAAACATAAAGTTTCTCAAGACTTTAAATGTGCTGATTGTGATTATGGGACAAATGTTAAAACCAGGTTCAAACAACATCTTTTAATACATAAAGCTTCTAAAGATTTTAAATGTGCTGATTGTGATTATGGGACAAACAACAAATATACCTTTAAGAAACACCTTTTAAACCATAAAGTATCGAAAAATTTTAAATGTGCTGATTGTGATTATGGGACAAATAATAAATGCAACCTCAAAGAACATCTTTTGAAACATAAAGTTTCAAAGCATTTTAAATGTGCTGATTGTGATTATGGGACAAATGTTAAAAGCAGGTTCAAACGACATCTTTTAATACATAAAGTTTCTAAGCATTTTAAATGTGCCGATTGTGATTATCGGACAAATGTTGAACGCAACTTCAAAGGACATCGTTTAAAACATAAAATTTCTAAGGATTTTAAATGTGCTGATTGTGATTTTGGCACAAATAATAAATACTACTTCAGAATTCACCTCTCGAAACATACATAATGATTATAAATGTACTAAGTACTTGCAATTATAAGAAATTAAAGTTTCAACCGATTAACAAAAATGTCTTAGGTATGCCACTTTAGTATGCGATCTACCAAACTCCAAATGGGGTTCGCTACTTTGTTGTAAAGACACGATCAAGCAAGCAGGTTCTACGATTCACTAAGATAAATGGCCAGTCTATGCAAATTTACGTGATCATGGTTTAATACATCGCAGTGTAAATCACCAACATAATTATATTGACCCATAACCGGTGCTAATACTCAAAGGATTGAGAGGTCATGGTTAAATGCCAAGATGAAAATCTTGAGAAATATGCGTGGGACAACAGTGGATCATCTACAATCGCACTTAAATTACCTACATAAATCCATTGCTTTCCTTAGGGATATCGCTACTGTATATATGTAAATAATTTTTGTAATATGAAATAAAATTGCATACTACATGTATATACAGTCCATTATATCCTTAGAGAACAATTATCAGGGGTAAATATAGACAAGTAGCTTGATTTTTAATAGGATAATTTTATTTTTACACTAAAGTTTTGTTGCAATGGAAAAAACTAGAGATCAAGTGTGATAAAGCTGGAGAGATTTTATCATATGCTTTTGATGGAGAGTTTTTTCCAAGAGCGGGTGTATTTTAGGGAGATTAATACAAGACAATAAATTTCATGCAATTTTTACAAGCATTTTTATCGCTGATAAAAAGCTACCCAGCTTAAAAAATCGTCTGATTGGTTAGAATTTGAAACAATCGCCGAGCTGATTGGTCGAATATTAATGTACGCTCTATAAAATGTAAACCGCGCATTTGGTAGATCGCATACTAGGTAAAGTATTGTTTTTGTATGAACAAACAATGCTATTGTGTATAAAGTGTAGATCCCATGTCATTTGTAGATCGCATACTAAAGTGGCACTTTTTTAACGACCATTTACTAAAGAAATCTTGTACAGATGTACAGTGTATGTATGTACATAAATATCCACAAGATTGCGCTGACCTTTTGTATGATTCATGGAGTATAATAAAGACATATGTACACCATGGTATGATTTGTTAAGATTATAATGTTGATATATGTAATAAAAATGGTGGTTGTGTAAAAGCCTTTCTTTCATATTAAGGTAAAAGCAGATTGTTGTGCCGAGGTCCAAATTCTTAGGAAAAACGTTAAGGAAGTCAGGTAAGGTTGTCCTAATGTCAGAAAATCCATTAAAATAAAAGTCCCGGATTTTTCGGTATTTGGAAGTGAATCTTTATAGGATTAAATTAGTCGATTTAGGAAATAAAGCATGTGGCCAAAACAGGTGCCACAGAATAGCAATTTCATTAGTTCTGGCCACTGCACTCGCCCGAAAGAGGTGTTACGCTTTTTACTTTTCGCTACGATGGCCACAAGTTGGTTTATGGCCATATCATTTTTGGCCATAGAGTGTTCACCTACAATAATTTTGTCGCAGTTCGAAAATGGCAAGAACAAAGAGAATCCGAGCGAAAAACAAACTATTAATGACACCAAGGAAAGGGCATTTTTGTAAAATATGAATCCATTCAATCGAAAAACCCTCTAAACGCTATCCGAAATTAAATGCCAACAGCAAAAACAAGTACCTACAACGTTTGTCGTTCCCAGATTAACAATGCGGAATAAGATATTCGGCAAGGCAACGCTAAACGTGAAGAACACGAACACGTCCCAGTTGTGTTCTTGGTGAAGTAGCACAAAGAGAATTGTGCGAGTGGAAAGACGGCCTTATATATTTTGTGAGACGAATAGTACGTAAGTACAAGAAGCTAAGGCAACTACTCCATTCAAAAATCAAACACCCGAAAGACAGTGGTTTCAAGCATTTATGAGAAGGCATCAAAACTTATCTTTGAGGCAGGCAGAGGATTTGGGGAAAGCGAACACTAACATCACACCCGCGATGATCCGAAATTGGTTCCAAAGACACCTTGAAATTACTGATGGGCGAAAATGCCTCTGTACACGAGCTCCCTGAACGAATTATCCACATGGATGAAACTACATTCTTTTTACATCTCAAGGGTGGGTGTTTGTGTTTCAAGTGTTTCTGTAACTAATTATAAGGAGAACACCACCATGACCAATACATAAATTTGAAAGACTTACTGTTCAATAGGTACCTAGGTATATCAAATCTGGATCGAAAAAATGGGGCCCATTTTAGCCGTGGTCAAAATCATGGCAAAAATCGGTGTTTGGTTGGCCGAAACTGGTGAAACACGACTTTTGCGATTACCATTTTTTGTGCCACATACGTGTTATCTCTCTCTATTCCACGTAAATTAACTCAACCTACGATATAAAGAATGAAATAGAAACCAATTCATTGGATACTAACCTCATTGGACGAATATTTAAACTGACTACGGGACATTTTGACACTATTCCGGCATAAAACAATGGTCATATCGCAGAGTGCCGCACATGTAGTTACACTACTTACCTACTTTACTGTTAATTTTACGGACTTTGTTATATAGACCATGGTATATATAGGAGGCCAATGGCATACCTACTGCATGCAATATACATATGATAAGTGTCATGATCAAAGTTAGTATGACGCATGATCAATTTAAACATTTAGATTTAAATGCATTATTAACGCGTTAGTCCAGTCAAATTACGGTTTGGGCTGGATGTTGTGACTTCACTCAACGAAACCAAGCGCATACTATGTAAAAAAATCCGCTGAATCCGAAAATCATAGTCCCCCTGGCCGGGAACGGCCGGAACATATTGTTATTAACAAAAAACGAAGAAAAAATGAGAAAATGTGTTCTTTCGCATTTGACTTAGAATAGCTCTCAGGGAAAGAATAAATAGAAATGAACTTGTTTAGAATAAAATTTTCTATAAGATAGGTACAGTTGGCCCGGAACGCTCATTTTCAACTGGTATTGTTTTTTATGGTAAAATGTAAAAAATTAATCTCTAAAATTAACAGTTTGTTATTACTAAGTAAAATTCATCCGATCTTTTTGAAAATCCGTATCTAGTAACTTCTTTTGATAACAAAACAATATGACAAACCCGATCACCGTAGGTTTCATAGTAATTGATTAATTAAATAAACAAGTAAAAAGGGATGGTTTGTCTTTCAAACTGAAGAGCGTTCCCAATTTTTTAATACATAGTTTAACCCTAAAACAATCTTTTCCAATAAATGTTCCGATAATTTTTGCAAACCAACGGATTGTGGAATTTTTTTAGTTGTCTAACAAACGGAATAGCTTCCGAGATATAACAAAAAAGTTAACTCTATAATCGGCCCTTGGCACTCGAATTAATAACAATCATTCATTTGGGTGAAATAGAAGCATAAAAAAGTTCACGCTGTAAAGAATCGATCGGTGCGGCCGGATTGGCAAAATCATTTTTGGTTGTTTCGAAAACTGGCTTCAAAGTCAAAAGCTGATTTCTCGTGAACTATTAATCGGATTTGGACGTAAAAAACACATTTTCTCGTGTTTTCTCCGTTTTTTGTTAATAACAATATGTTCCGGGCAATTCCGGCCAGGGGGACTATGATTTTCCGATTGAGCGGATTTTTTGACATATAGGATAGGTACGCTTGGTTTCATTGAGTGAAATTACAACATCCCAGTTTATACCACTTTTAAAGCTAATTTAACTGGACTACGTAATTTTTCTGAAAATGTAATGCAACCTATGTAACATAATTGGTTCAATACATTAATACATAATTATAATGGCGGTGTTTACATACTTGGACTCTTTTGTTTGGAACTACTTACGTGGCTGATACATCCGATATTCCATCGCACCACCCACACAAAAATAGGGTATCATCAGCGAATAGGTACGAAAAACACTGATTTATTCAATTATATATTAAAATTTATTATACAAAAACATGGTTACCTAATCCTGTTTGGTAACAATCCAGTTTTCCTGCCGAAACGATTGTCTGTGCGCAATTGCGGGAATATTTTGGGTCTGCCGGCTTTCGTAGATATCTTTCGTCGGTTTCGAATTCGACGATGTGTACTTAAAGCTCTTGTAATGCGTTTTCGGTTTACTGGAATGTTTTTTATTGCGCGGTTTCCGAACATTTCTCGAGAAACGATCCTCGTCATCATCCTCCTGGACGCGGTAATGCCCATCCTCTTCATCATCGTCGCTATCGCTATACTTACTCGACTTGTACGGTTTGAATTCTTCGTCGTCTTCTTCGTAGTTTTCGTGGTCTTCGTCTTCGTCACGGGTGTATTCTTCGGATTGTTTTGGTTTACCTTTGTTGTATGTTGTGGATATTAAAGGAGATGGTCTGAAGGGCTTTTGTGTGACAACCGGTGCCGGTTGCGTGGGGTGGATATGTGCCCGTTGCGGGTGGTATACAATTTTACTTGTGTAAATCGGTGGATTGACATGAGTATGAGCACCTGGAGCAGGTGCAAGTGGAGGTGAAGCGGGATACGGATGCACAAATCTAGAATAGCTCTGTCCGTGATGTACCACCGCGCTATGTTGAACAGGAGCGGCAATTGCGGAATGAGGATGATGGACAGGGCTTACAATGGGGGCCTGTACCTGCTGATGATTGTGATATTGAGTTGGTGCATGCAGGTGATCCGAGGTGTCGTGAGGGTAGTCGTAGAGCACCTGCTGTACTGCCACTTGCTTTGGATATTCACCAGTTTGATGTGGATTAGCATAAGGGTGTATGTTGGAAGGGGCTACCGGAAAATATCTAACTGATGCAGGATCTGTATAGTAACTGATTTGATCTTGTAAACCCCTCTTTGTTACGTTTTGCTGTGTAGATTGTAGCTGCACTTGCACTGTCAAGTACATTATATGCCCAAGAATAAGCTAAAAAATAACTCAGAGTAGGAAAAATAGGGGTTAGAAAGATCTTACCCAAGCCTTCATTGTTTGCAGTTCTTGTGGAACGTAATCTGATACTAAACGCTCTCGCCATCGCATTTCTTTTTATACGTTTTGAACCGTTTTTGCGGTAGGTGAAATGAAATTTCTTCCAATCGGAAGAAATAAATTAAATTAAATACAAAAGACGTGTTGCGGTTATAGAGATCGATTGAAAACTTTCATTCAGAGCACCCTTTTTCTATTTGTATTCAATTGGTGCTCGAGAAAAAATTCAAATTGGGACTATGGCAACCCTAAATTACTCAAACACGAAAATCTCCCCTTGTCACGCATATCCTTCGTGTGAACGGCCGGTCTAAGGGAATTTCAACCTAAAAAACTGGACGTTCTTGACCATGCGCTTCCACCAATTGGCCTGGTCCGAGCGAAAGTCCAACTACTGTCCACTACAGTAACCCACTGATAATTAGACACAGGTCAAACGTCAAACAACGCTCTTGGTAATAAATACTGTGGAAAATTGCACCACGACCACGTCTTCAACGGACTTTGAAGGCGCTTCTAAGGGTACGGGCAACATAAACGAAAAGAAGTGAACGATCGAGTTCGCCCCGCGCCGTACAGAGAAACCTATTTTATTTAATAATTTAAAATTATGTACATTTTATAACCGGCAAAATGTGGATCGTGTTAGGCGTGATTAACATTGTAGTTACTTAAGCTCCTTGCATTTCTGCAACCTTGTGAGTTAAGCCCTCTCAGTTATGAATTATGAGGAAATTCTAATAGCATTCCTATATCGAAACGCATTCCGCACATTCTAATCGAATGTTCATACGTTTATGATTGATAAATAAACGAGTTCCAAATATCGGTTTTGAACGGATTCATAATTTCGAGCGGCTTAAATGTAAATGAGAAATCGAGTCGAATAAAATTCAGGGATAACATAATTAGGGTAAAATGGCGATTAAATTAAGAAAGGCGCAGCAAAAGCACCTGTCTGTTTTGTGTGCATCAAGTTATCAAATTGAAGCCGTAAGTAACGGGAGAGTAGGAACGAGAAAAGGTCGCACACTGATAATAGAAGCGATATTTACGAGCAGTGCTGGGAAACGTTGCTTTTTTACGCGTTTAATTTTCTGTGCTCCTAATACTAAGACCGCCAATTTCGCTCCCAAGAAGTCGTCTCACAGGGTTATATTGAGCCTGCGCAAGTTTAAAAATCGGCAGCGCATGTATGTTGGGCTGCCTGTAGTGTAGGCATTCCGATCGATAATATAGCAAAGAAAACGCGCATAATTCACAAATGACAGCTAATAAATGCATTAATTTTCTCACTCCGTCTTTAATTTGGTACTGCTAATATGTGCCGATTGTTGTATCCCTTGAATATAAACATTACAATTGAAGAACACCAGAATGTTCTTCCAAAAACATAGCATTTGAGTGTCTTTAGACAATTTGAATTAATTTGTTGATTATGCGGTATTTCCTATCCCTCGGGAACTGTACATACATTGAAACCTAGCAATAACACCCAATATAGAAATCGCCAAATAAAACTGAACAAAAAATGAACAAGAAAATTCCTCATGGTGTATTTTCAAACCTATTGCACATTTCACCTAGGGAAGAGGTGGGAATAAGCCGCAAAATATGAAATGTAGTAAACGATGCCAAGGCGCTTCGATAATTAATAAATACGGAAGTCGTTATCGGGAAGATATTAATCACTAAATTAAAGTTTGCCAGTTTTCAGCAGTCAAATTGGCGAAGATGCCCGAACGTCCAGTAACGCAGTTTATTAGAATTACTGTAAACCGTTAAAACGTGGCTGCGGTGGCTATAGCTCTAATCAGTAGAAGAATAGCTAGAAAGGAATTACAGTGATCCCCTTTTTAGATACAAAAAGATTCATTTAACGCACGCGAATGAAAGGTTTTGAAATTCTCATGTTTGTTTAAACATACTAACTTAGTACCATTAAATAAGGAATCTGAATATGGAAAGATACTGATCGCATTCGTTACCAACCGCCCGAGAGAAACAATTCGTTTAATCCTTACGAAAAATGGGTTCCAAATCTTTAATAGTACAAAGGAATAGTATTCACATTCACTAGCGACCGCCCGAGAGGTTGTAATTTAACACTAGAAAATTTTAATGCTTCTTAGGACGTTACGTGACACTCCGAAGGAAGACAAACCGCTCTTAACGAATAACGACGGACGAAAGCAGCGACCGTCGGCGGCAGCCTGGAACGGACGGACGGACTCGAGCGCCACCAACGGTACGGCCTTGCCCCTGGTCAATGTCGGCGGTACCAGCGGTTTGGCGGATCGGTCTCGGGCAAACTCAAACGGAGCAAAGGGCAGCTCCAGCAATTCGAAAGGGCAAGCGGGCACCGGATACCTGTGAATTCTAAAACAAATTAGAGCGCAAAGCAATTTCCCTAAGCGAGAACAGTAAATAGTCGGATTCGGTGCGTTATCTACGGGAAAGCAAATGCAGGAAAGCGAAACAATATCCCCTCCCTTTATAATTATGAAACGGAAAGTTACAAAAAGCTTACTTTGCAATTAAACGAAGCGATAGAAATTACTGTGCAGGAAAAGGCAACAGCTATAAATACGGTGCGGTAAACTTAATGTAAAATCAAACATTAAACGGTATGAATGCAAAATAAATTTACGAAAAACATCAACCTACGGCAACAGCAGCCTAAAAATCTGTAATTGGTCCTAAAATTCAAATTACTTACTTAGCGTTTCTTTCGATAGCCCATACGATAATGAGGAATGACGTTTACTGCAACTCATTTTTTAGCTACTGTTAATTTCACTTACTTAATTGGCCGGATTGAAATTTCTAAAATCGGTAGTCCAATTCACACCTATGGTTAATTGGAATTTATCACCTCAGCTCAAATATTAATTTGCTCTCTTCTGAATGACAAGAGCTTTCTGACGCATCAAAAATAATTGACGGGAATGGTTGTAAACGGCAAATTAATCCGTCAGAAAAAAATGGCATTCATTTGCGACCGTGCTAGGGGTGAAATCAACTTCTAACTTACAAAACAATTAATTCAAAGATAAAAAAGGTCTCAAATTCCCAAGTTTGTTGAAACCTATTGAATTCAGCTATAGCCTTGACTCAGTCGAGTTAGAACGTGGCACGAACCTAGGTATTTATTTCAACCACAACTCATTATGTGCGTATGTGCTGTTAGTCAGTAGTCTTTCTTACGTGTAAGCTTTGAATATATGTAGTGGATCATGCGTGTACGTATGTTGGTATGTAGTATCCTGTGTTATGCTTAGTACTTTTCTGACTATATGGCATGTGCTAAAAATGTGAAAAAATTCGTTTACAGTCGAGCGAGGACATGTCGTTTAGATCGTTTTACATAGAGCCTTTTTGGGCACGAATATTTGATTTACTTGTTCAGCGCCCTCAGAGGTCAGACAAGCTTTTGGTTTTTGCGGCTGTTCTTGGCTACCACCAGGCGTCTGAACCGTCGGCAGGTCTGAGCCAGGTAGAGGACTCTCTTTATCATATGAGGGACAGCCAATTGAACCCTAGGGTACATGAAACCGTGTCATTTCTAATGGATGATTTCTGTTACAGGGTTCTCGTAGCTCACACTTGAACTGAAAGATGGCAGGAAGCTGAACACGGACATGAACTCGAGGGGCGACCACCTTCTGGGGTACTTGCAAACAACTGATTTGAACGTTTTAATCATGGAGCAACCCCTACCGTCGTCACAGCGCGGAAGTGTGTATCAGTCTGTCGTTGGGCTCACATGAGCACGGATTGGACACCTCAGACCTTGAAAAGGTTCGTAAGGAGGTTTGCAGGATCCATGCGAACTAAGCTGCCTGGGGACTGGAAGGATCCCAAAATCGCTCAACGCAGATATAAGGGTCATATTCGAAAGTCGAAAGTGAGACTGCGGAGTGCTGAAGGTTTTGCCATTGATGGGTCAATTGTAAGATGGATCCGCCCCATAGTGGGCTCTGGTCCCTGGTGCTAGACCGGCTCCTCCGCCTTCTGAACAAAACGACGGAGCGTATACACAGAGATATAGGGTGATTTCGCGATCATCATCACTAGAAAGTTTCCAAACACCGCGAAACAGCTCATGCGGGGGGCTCTTGAACAGATGGATAGGTGGTGCAGTAGTCATGACCTCTTCGTTAACCTAGAAAAAACCGATGCTGTTCCATTTACAAATAGAAGGAGACCGGACCTTGATTGGCTGGGCTCACTCTTCGAGGACGTCAACTAGGTCTAACCGGGCCAGTGAAACATTTGGGAGTCATCATAGACTCCCGCCTGACCTGGAAAGGACACATTGAGCGAAAAAGAAAAAAGACCCGAACCTCCCCTACTCCCTTCGTTGTCAGGGCCGGGATTAAAGACTGGGTGACCAGTCAATTCCAGGCCCAGTGGCGATAAGCAACCAGGTGCAGTCAGTCCAAGGCCTTATTAACAGGGCCCCTTGCCATGTGGCGAGGCACCACCGAGCATGCGGTCTGTCACTGTTACGCCTTGATCAGGGACAGACATCAGCTCCTTGGTGAAATCAGTTATCTGGAACCGAGGAGGGTGAATGATGGTCTTCTAAAACTGAGTAGAAGCTAGATTAGGGAGATAATCAGTGTCCTTACTGGACTGGATAGTCACCTGCACACCATTGAGATTGTAGGACAGCTCACGTGCAGATTCTGTGGCGAGGAACCACCGAGCATGCGGTCTGTCACTGTTACGCCTTGATCAGGGACAGACATCAGCTCCTTGGTGAAATCAGTTATCTGGAACCGAGGAGGGTGAATGATATCATGTCTTTTATAAAGAGGAACGGGCTCTGAACCCAGTTGCGAAAGAAAGGAGCAGGCACAGTGGCCCTCTGGTGTGCCTAAGTGCAGCCTAGTCGGGCTTCCCTTATCAATAGAGAATAGATGTCATTCTGGTTGCGAAATAGAAATTTTATTATCTGGGTCGTTTTTTGGGCTCGATTACTCACTAAACAAATACATTGTTCGACATAAAACGATCAAATCAGCGGAAAGAAAAACAGGCACCCAATGCCACCATACCACATTCTACGTAACAAGCGCTCGATAGAACACTTAATTAAGGAATCTTAATTACCTTAGTGTCAATAATCCAAAATCTCCCG